CAAGGTTCATGTGTTTATCATTTCAACATGTTCAGCATTATGTTTCTTCCACAGGTGATCTGGAGCATCATAAATGATTCATTCTGCTCCTTCAAGACCAGGTGAGCATAAACGTGGTATAATTCAGGAAAAGAGTTCCTTCCGTTCGGTATGGACGTACCGAAACAAATCATCCCAAGTTATAAAGTTGAAAAAACCCTAAACGTAGTTCAAACCCTAATTTTCCTAAAATTTTGGACTTTCACTCATTTTGTGAGTTCTCAACTTGGAAGCGGGCTGTCTGGTGAATACTCGGTGAAGGCTTTGGTGTGAGCTATTTTCCTAATGTTTTGTTGATATCTCACAGAGTCAGTCAGAGCGGGTGGGTGTGCACTCAAGTGTAACGGCTGGTTCATTTGCAGATGCCGCCCAAACGGCTCATTGTGTGTGTATATATAGAGATGTTGGGTTTTGTAAATACATGCTCATTTTTTGTGCATAACATTATGCAATCAACAGACATGATAACATGTCATGTGTTCAAGTATCACACCTGCCTGTCTGTGTAATTACATAATGTGACAGAGACCGAACTCGGGCCATAAATCAATGTATTTTGTTTATGGTTAGCTGATTGGTGTTAAGTTCAAATTGCATGTGGTCAGTGATCGCAGTTGTGTATTGAATATTATCATTAGCAGACAGGCAGGCAGAAACACAGGTGTCAATAAAACAAGACATTGAGTTTTGTCTGTGACAACGACATATCTATATCACAGTTAGAAATTCTGTCAACGCTACATAATGACATTGCTTTTAAGTATCGAACTGAGAATGTGACTCAGTAAGAAGAACGTGTGGTGAAATAGACAAATGAAATTATATAAACAGTTTATTTACTGTCATAACATATGAGATATTAAAGGTAACATGCAACCAAAACATCAAACATAATCAAAACACAATTATCACTTATTCATGACATATAATATACATTGTTGGTTATGAAAAAACATACAAACAAAATTATAAGTGTATAATCGCAAATCAAAAGAGCAATATTTTGTACTTGGGTTTACCTCCCTCGAAACGAAGCAGCCGGGATACCGAACCCAGTCAGAGCGGGTGGGTGTGCACTCAAGTGTAACGGCTGGTTCATTTGCAGATGCCGCCCAAACGGCTCATTGTGTGTGTATATATAGAGATGTTGGGTTTTGTAAATACATGCTCATTTTTTGTGCATAACATTATGCAATCAACAGACATGATAACATGTCATGTGTTCAAGTATCACACCTGCCTGTCTGTGTAATTACATAATGTGACAGAGACCGAACTCGGGCCATAAATCGATGTATTTTGTTTATGGTGTATAGCCTGATTGGTGTTAAGTTCAAATTGCATGTGGTCAGTGATCGCAGTTGTGTATTGAATATTATCATTAGCAGACAGGCAGGCAGACACATAGGTGTCAATAAAACAGACATTGAGTTTTGTCTGTGACAACGACATATCTATATCACACTACAGTTAGAAATTCTATCAACGCTAAATAATGACATTGATTTTAAGTATCAAACTGAGAAAGTGACTTGGTAAGAAGAATGTGTGGTGAAATAGACAAATGACATTATACAAACAGTTAAATCGGTAATCTACTGTCATAACATATAAAAAGCTCGCGCCTGTGAAATATCAACAAAACATTAGAAAAATAGCTCACACCAAAGCCTTCACCGAGTATTCACCGGACAATCCGCTTCCAAGCTGCACGAACCTATTTCACTGCGCATGTGCTATGAGCGCAGCCCAGCTGTTGAAACCACTTCGATTCCCCCAAGCGCTGGGGAAAAATTAGTGAATCGTTTGAACTACGATTTCGCGCTTTTTTTTCATCGCGTTACAGAGGCCCAGATAAGCTGCGTATCCGGGTAAAATACGCATATAAACTTTCCAATTACGCATTGAAAAATAATTGTTGCGTACCAATTACGCATTTAAAATGTTAGATACCCAAAAAGATCCAAAAAAAATGCGTACGGAATATATTTATAAAAATCGCTTGCGTAATGAAAAAGACATCGATTGCTATCAAGTTGTACTGTTAGTATAGGACAAGTGCTGTACTATCCATTTAGGATGGGGGACTTTTTATGAACTCATTTCCATTATATTTAAGTTGGTTTTGATTAGGTATGACATAGTCACAAGGCAGAACATACCTGCTTAGTAAACTTACTCAGTCACATAATACTTAGGTGAGTAAAATCACTGAAATACCCACATGTTTGAAAGCAGTGGGTAACGTCAAATGAAATACCCACGCAACATTCATAATACGCACTCCACAAAAATACAGTGGGTACAGTACCCCCATGAGCTAAATCTTATCTGGAGCTCTGGCGTTATTTTTCAACTTTATATGTTGAATTTGCATTTTTGATGATTTGTTTCGGTAAGTCCATACCGAAAGCTATCAGAATCTGCAAAGTTGTGTTTTACGTTGCATGTGACCTTTAACATATCATTAAACTGCTAATGTGATGAATATTGTTATCAGGACATAGTCTTCCATGATTTAAAAGTGTATTATAACTTAACAAGTCGGAGAGAGTGATATATTTACCTTAGATATTATTGTCCAGAATTCGAAACTTACAAATGTTGGCATATAAAAGGGGTTTTGACATTCTCCCCTCATTTCAGAACGAAGTCCCAAAAGTTTTGTCGAAATGAGTACAACTTGACAGGCCTGTGCAGTAGGGCATCATGTCCGTTGGCCAACAGCCAGTATGCTACAATACGAGAAGAGAAAGGTGTGTGCTATCTGTACATGAAGGTGATCGAGAGAGCAGCTTTCCCCAGCAAACTTTGGGAAAAGGTGAAACTCTCGAGAAATTATGAACAGGCACTGAAACAGATTGATGACAATCTGATCTATTGGCCAAGGTGAGTCAATTGTGGATTAACTTTACATAGTTTCATGCCAACTGTAGATGAACCTGGTGCATAGACCAGAATGAATACATTTTACTGCACCTGATTGTCTAAGGGCTTAACCACAACTATGCATAGATTCGACACATAAGTTTGCTACTGAAGCATGGGAAATACATGAGAAAATTTAGACCCTTAGCAGTCAATTCTCTTTGTAACAGATGCCATGACTAGTTTGATAACATGTTATCATTACCCATTTGGGTGGATAATTGTTTGTGATGTGAATCGCTGACTTGTCTTGTCGTTTATTATAACCTGGCTGCCATCATACTGTTGAAATACTGCTGAGTAAACAGCACACAACCATAATACATGCTTACGACCCCCATCCCAAACAGTTTTTGAAATTTGGGGGTCACATACATACATACATCTAGGTAAATTCTCATGTTATTGTAATCTTTCTGATGTTGATCAGATTGATAGACATCTTAGAAATATAAAATATTGTGTCTGTACATCAAAAATATAAAATATTGTGTCGTTTAACAAAGTAATGAATTGACTGTTTGCATGTTGTATAGTTAACTACTGCTTAGCTGTGTACAGTGTGTTTTGAGATAACGTGGCCATGGTTACTATTTTATCTTTCAGGTTTATCAGGCATAAGTGCAAACAGAGGTTCACCAAGATTGCACAGTATCTGATAAGAATCAGAAAACTGACTCTGAAAAGACAGTGAGTATTGTTCTAAGACAGGTATATTATCCCCCCTTGTTTGAAAGATGATCCGTATATTCATTTTCTATTTCTGGGGCAGATCTCCTAAATTTGTAAATATGTCTTTCTGAAACTTGCAATAATATCATTCTAGTGGTAAACTGGTGCTTCTTGTATATTCTTTTGTTTTCATGACAAGTTGGACTTAGAAATGTTGGACTCTATACTCCTTTCTTGAGCATATTTCCAAAAATCATTGAATTTGCTATACAAGTCAGTTCAGTAGTGAACTGTCACCTTCAGATGATTTGGTACTTTTATTTAACCTTTGAACATTCCTTGAAGAAACTTGCTATGCAGATTCAGTCTATACAAGATTAAGACTTTACATGGAGTAAACGTTATCCTTAACATGGCTCTGGTCTTTATGTACGTTTATTTTGTTATGACCTGGCTGATGTCTCTACAGAATCTGAATGTAGTCTGGAGATTCTAGACTATAGTCTGATTCTGAAAGCGAGCTATAATTCTGTTTCAAGTGAAAACGTACCGATGAATTACACTTTAAACTAGAAAGTAAATCAAATAAAGTGAAATTAAGATTGCGAAGCCTCATAATTTTACCTTGCCAACTGAACATTTGAATCTCAGAATTTGTTAAAAGTTGTTTAACAAACGATCATAGATTCAAATCGCTAATATTGGTTTGTATTACAAGGGGGTAAGCGCAGTAGTTGGAACACTGAAACAAATGCACGTGAGGTACGTGATGAGCGTTAACTTAGACCAACCCTACTTGTTCTCGATGTTTCATTTAAATGTGCATACCCCCTTGTAATACAAACCAATAATAACGATTTGAAACAATGATGGTTTGTTAAACTTTTATCCTAAGTTTAATAAAATTCTGATATTTAAATGTTCAGTTGGCAAGGTAAAATATGAGGACTCACAATCTTATTTCACTCTATTCGATTTACTTTCTTGTTTAAAGTGAAATTCATCGGTACGTTTTCACTGCAAACAGACTAAAGAACAGGTCTCCAGCTACCAGTTCTAATTGTAAGAGGCAACAAATGGAACAAGTGGATCTTTACCCTAATATCAATCACTGGATTGTCTGGTCAAGGCTTGTGGGTTAACAGGCTGCATCATACAGCTGAAATATCGCTGGATGTGTTGTTATAATACCAAACAACAGAAGTGTAGGTTAACTGTGTTGTCATTAACGTGGAAATGATCTCGACCTTGATGGTCTGTTGCAGGAAAAAGTTGGTTCCCCTCAGTCGGAAGGTGGAGAAGAGAGAGTCGAGGAAAGAGGTGAGACTGACATGTTTTTCACAGACACAGACAGTATATGTTACTGGGTGTGTCACAATACCTTAAGTCAAGATATAATGGATATTGTCGTACTTCATTTGCTGTGGTGATGCTCACATTATATATGAGGGAAAAATTTGGAGAATATCTTACAAAGTGGTGGTGGTAACCATGCTTTGCCAATCCTCTAATCAACCAGAATTTATCTGGACAGCTTACTATTTCATAACATGATTTTTTATTAAACTGTGTATATATTCATTGAGCAAGACTAAATATAACTCACAAATTCCAGCCAAGATTGGCAAGGGTAGAAAGTGGATGTTTACTCAGTTATCTCCCTTACCTTCGGATGCCTGCATTCTGCTGCTCAGTAAAGAAATTCTATCTTAACTACAGTGGTCGTCTTGGTAGCATGTAGTTAAGTATTGTTTCTAAACCAATTTTAAATGTGCAGGAGAAGGCCTATGCTGCTGCTCAGTTGACGACATCAATCGAGAAGGAGCTTCTAGAAAGGTTAAAGAAGGGCACGGTGAGTACAAACAGCTACATGACCAGATTTTCTGAAGCTAACATCAATGTAGTTTCTAATGGTCCCCAGTACCTAATACTTGCATATTCTGAAACAATCCCATTAAAAATAATCCTGTAGTGAATAATACAGTTGAGCACAATTGTGTCGAAAGCTGATAACTCGATATTTCGGTTGTCTTGATATAACATCTCGGTCCCGGCAAAATCCTTCATAATTTATCATTATTCAAGCTCTTTCAACTCGATACGGATGTCTCCATATTTCGGATATCTCGATATAATTTCATGGTCCAAACAAGCAAAATTACCCTTGTAACTCGATGTTTTCAAAGAAACTCGATATTCACCTACCTTTCATGGGCAAGTATTCCTCTGAACTGAGGTTATTTCCACACGTTTACCCACAGTGCGGCATGATTCAAAGGGATGCGGTAGTGTAAACTAATTTGGGCTAATTGAGTTGAAGGTGTGACTTGTCTGTTATTTAATCAGGATTAATTAAGAAGGAATTAATTAGGAAGTACTCACTGTTACAACTAAACACTATGGGTTATGTGTAATCACGTGACAAGCATGTGATTGTTGAGTTGTTTCTAAATTGCGGACATACATGAAATCTACTTTTTGTTTTGTTTTCTTTCATATTGATATATAATTATATGCCCTGGTCAGATGTCTCGAAGTTCGGATAACTCGATATTTTTTCTTGGACCCATGAATATCAAGACAACGGTGCTAGACTGTATATTTTAAATTCCAACGTCAATATTCTAAGTTTAGTCTTGGCAGCTGGCAATCTGTTCATCATTATGTACAACTGACGTCTATGGACCCATGAGTGTTGATGTATTGCTGCCTGTGTCTTGTTCCAGTATGCGGGATATCTACAACTTCCCTCCGTAGCCGACAAGGTGCTGGATGAGGAGGAAGTGGAGAGTGAGAGTGAGTCAGAGAAGGAAGAGAAGGATGAAGGATGAGGAGAGGAGGAGGAGGAGGAGGTGTATGAATTGTCCTTGAGATTTGGGGGGGAAGAGGAGGGGCACAATGTGTAAGCCCATGAATGGTGTCCCCCTTGATATTTGAATATTTGGGGGTCAGTCAGTCAGTCAGTAAATGCGATTCGTAGAGGATGATGATGATGATGATTTGGACATTAAACATGCACTTTCCGGCACACAGTAGGTTGGCATTGAATTTCAGTGGCTTCTTTTTAATTACTGTGATGTTAATACTTAATATTTCAAATCTTAAATTAAAATCAGGTTATTCAGGTCCCTACCACTACACAATGCAGAGTACTTACAATTACAGGTCCATAAGGTATAACTTTCATTTTGCCATTCAGAGTGTCACTTCAAGATTGAGAAAGCTAATGATCAAATGTGTTTTATATCCAGCTACATCCAAATGTGTAACACAACTTGTTCTGAATGACAATTATGGGCTGTAATGGAACAAACATTTGAACATGTTACAATGGGAGAGACTTTCGAATGGCTCTTTGGCGCAACTCATAAGAGTTATCTCCCTTTGCTCCATGAAAAGATTAGTTTGCCTTCCCAAGAACACTTGTCTTGTGCTCCTTGCAGTACCACAACTATGGGTCAGGCCACCACTTTAGGCAGGAACTATTCCAGGTTGATTTAAACCGTCACTCCTGGCCACACATGATAGGTGTAGGTGCCACCATGTTCATGGGGAGATATATTATGTCAAGGCGAAGTGATGATTTCGAAGTTGGTATGCTCACTTTGCTGAAACAAACCAGTTTCAAATGCTCACAAATTCAAACATATTCCCTGTCACTGTCTGGAAAGTATCCTGTATTTAGTTTCCGCCTTTTGACTGATGAGAGTTGTATGCACCTGTCTTTGTGCAGCCCCAAGAGACGAAGGTAGCAGTTCACTCCCAACAGTGAGGGTCAGGTTGTTATGGACATACCGGTAAACTTACGTGTCATCTGCTTTGTCATGCAAAGTGGTTACCGCCTCATCCTGATAGGTTCAAAGTTTTGCTACATGTAAAAACTAAAATACTTGCAAGTATCATGGATCTAACAAATTTTCAATTACAGGGAGTTGGTGAAATTGAGTATGTAGCTGATGAAGACTTTGATGAGAGCGATGTGTCTGACATGGAGGTAAAGAAAACCAACAGTTGCTGATCATTAGTACTGATTGTTCTTCATATCAACCACTTTATTTTCTGACTCGATTATTTACAAGCTGCCATCATATTGCTGTCAATATTTGAGTGAAGTGTTAAAACATTTATGACAAACAAGTAAATATGGTGAACGTTTTTGTACCACTATATCAGAGATTGTTCACGTCCTGTGGCAATACCAGTTTGGTGTTAAACCATACGCTCTCACCACGGTACAGTACGTATTGCGGTACAAGGCCTTCGCTCCGGTGCGGTATACGAGATGTGATCATGATATGGAAAATTGACAAGAGCAAAATACCGCGGTTCTACTTATACCACGGTGTACCGTTTCACCCCCATGGTGCTTGTGTCCTGCATTCATATCAGGCTGACATTTGTGTAGATCAATGCTCATGCTGTTGATCACTTGATTGTCTGGTCCAGACATATATTTACACCATCACCATATACTGGAATATTGCTGAGTGCAGCATTAAACAACAAACAAACATCAGTACTGATGTTGAAGCATGTTTGAAATTTGTGTTGACGTTGTCTTCCTTTATTGTACAGGACATGGGGAACAGTGACTCATCGGACAGCTCCTCGTCTGAAGATGACAAGCCCAGAAAGGCAGCACCTCGAAGGAAACGTCCCCGTGTTGAAATTGAATATGAGCAGGAAACAGATCAACCATCGACATCCAAGGTCAAAGCGGTGTCATGATAACCAAATACTCCTTCTCCTGATACATGAAAACAACATTTTACGGCATTTTTTTAATCATCTTAACATTTTAGATGCCTGACTATGTAATCCTGTAAGATTTCTAAGTTAGAATAGGTCCCAAAAAATCTGGACCTGCCACATAGCTGGAATATTGCTGTGTGCGGTTTTAAACAACAGACCAGTGTTAATTGTAAATGGTACTAGATGCACTATGTGGTGAGGCACTTGGATTGGGTTGATGGCGTGTCATCTCACCTTGGAGGCAATTATATCAATCACTGGATTGTTTAGTCAAGGCTCTTTCATTTGCAGTCTGCCATCATATAGCTGGATTATTTTGGAGTACGGTGTTGAACAGCAAATGAAAACACATGCCTTGGACTTGTGTTTTCCTTGTGTTTTCTGAGAAGATCCGGGCTAGAATTGATCTTCAGTAACCCATGCTTGTCGGAAAAGGCGACTATCGGGATTGGGTGGTCAGATGACACATGTCATCATATCCAAATTGTGTAGATCGATGCTCATGCTGTTGATCACTGGATTGTCTGGCCCAGACTCGATTATTTACAGACCGCCGCCATATAGCTCTACTATTGCTGAGTGTGGCGTAAAACTAAACTCACTCACTCCCTGTGTTTCACCTTACAAAGTGTTTGTTGATTGAGACATGGCAGGACAGTTTTGACTTGTCAAGTCTCATCTGTGAGGTCTGCACATTGTGAAACAACAGTACTGAAAGGTGGTACAGACCTCCCTGCTTCTTGAAGACTCGTCCTATCTTCAACACATTTTGATGTCAGATGTTTCAGTTAACGGAGCCGTCATCTCCACATATGAGTATTTGTAAATTAATTCATGATGTTTACTCAATCCCTGACATGACAGTTGTGGTAAATTTAACAGCTTTTTATGTGAAGTCCTCCAATTGCGCATACCTTTGTTGCTAAAACATATGGAATGGAATTTCGATTGTTACAACTTTTAAACTTAGCTAAGGTAGAATTCTGTGGGTGGTGTCTGGATTAACACAATCATTCAAGAACTGTTTTTACCAGGTACTGATGCCTGTTCAAGTTTTGAATATTTAATGACTATTCCCATATGGGTGGAATATTGCTGAATTTGGCCAAAGTTAGGCTTGCAGCTGAGTGGTGTTTTTAAATTAACTGAACATTTATTAAAGCAGTGTCACTACAAAAGTTCAATACCATGCAACGAGCACAAAGGAGACACTAAATAATAATAATTTAAGGGAAACTGTTTCATACCAGACAAATGGTAGGTGTTAACGTGTATATTGTTGTACAGATGTTCTGTATAGAGTGACTATAATGTTGAAATAAAGAAAAAAAATGTGAATATATGTGTCTGTGTATTGTAATGAAACTGGTCCATGTCAGTGATCATAGGAATAGCAAGCCAGGGGCCCATTCCACAAAGCGTGGAACCTATCGTAATTTTAAGACACAAATCTTAAGCGATCCACAAAGCTATCTTAGTGAAAACATCTCGTAAAGTTAAGAGAAAATTTAAGAACGGCCAGCGCCTATCGTAAATCAAACATTTCTGTCGTAACTTGAGAATTAAGATGGCTGCATATTTTCTGCTCGGCTTAGTTGAAGAAGAGTCAAAACCATCACGACCAAGGGTATTTCGGGACCGAACTCAGGTTCTCGATACGCAGGAGAGCGACAATCTTTATTTATGAAAATGCTCGTAAGATAATGAATTTACGAATGGATTAAGATCGCTTTGTGGATCGGTTGTAAAAATTAGTAAAACTTTCTTATTTTCGATCATAAACTCTTACGAATATCGTAGGCTACGAACGCTTTGTGGATCGGGCCCCAGCAGTGGTTCCAGGCTAAACTGGTACATAGATACCCATGTTGGTCTGGCTCAGTGACCTGGTTGATTCTACGTCATCATAAGACAATGACATCATTTGTGTGGTACACATGATGATCCGTGGTAAGAATGGGTCTTCAGCAACCTATGATTGTCGTAAGAGGTGAAAAACGGGATCGGGTGGTCAGGATCGCTGATTTGGTTGACTCATAATCGTATCCCAATTGCTGGAATATTGCTCTGTGCAGCATTAAACAACAATCAATCAATCACTGCTCATTATATCAATCACTTGATGTTTTACTCCAGACTTGCTTATGACATGCATCTGCCTGGAGTATTGCTTAGTGTGGGTTAATTTATTGACTATTATATATGCAAATTATTATTATTATTGAATATTTACATAACGCACATATCAACTCCCTGGAGACCATACAAATAGTGTTATAGTGCTAATTGTCAGTTGTCAACACATAGTTACACAGGCTTAATGTGCCAGATGTACTAGTCCCCAACACATCATTTGACCTGGAACACAAATATATAAATGTCACCAATATCTTTTGAGGCTGATTGATAATTGGTACAATATCCAAAAATATTACAAATCTGTTCAGGTCACATGTCCAGAACAGATTTTGAATTTACCTAACATTCTATTTTGAATGCCAAATGAGGGCCAGTGTACAGGGCTCCAGATAAGGGCCGTATCAGCCTATGTACAGATATAAAATATGCACGATACGGTAGGAAATAATTTAGAAAAGGCGTAGCAGATACGCACCACAGCAATGGTGTACGGTTTTAGAATCATTTACAGACGTATTTATCTGAAAAAGTTTTGTTTAATTGTTTATTGACCTGTTTACACAAGCATAGCAATGTTATGGTGCATATATGAAACGAAACACAAGATTACTGATACTCCATTAAATACCATTCAGTACTCTAAATGTACTCTTATTGTATTCCAGTACTCCTATATTGAAAAAATAAGGGGTACATACTCCTGTTGTTGAAAAATTATCTGGAGCCCTGTATGTAAATATGTCCTCTTCAATACATTTCGAGTTACAGTAAGCACTCATGTTTATGAATAGGCCGTGTTGGTATCCCATCATTGTCAACAGGAACCCCCACACACCCTGTCTGTGAGAGAGAGAGAGAGAGAGGGACCATGTTTCGTTATCACTGGTCTCGTTAAAACAGTTAGCCTTCATCCCAGAAATAACAAACATCAAGTTGCAATTTTCCTGCAAAGCTATTTAATCAAATTATCAACAAAACGTGCTCAAATTCAATAAAAATCGATGTGAAGAGTAACCAATAACTAATGAGATATACTTGAAAGTAAAGAAAGATCAAAAGTGACAGTTCTTTATCATAAGACAATGTTGAATGTCACTGATGTTTGATCTTCAGGTCGCTCTGACCCCAAGCTATCTAACGCTTCTTCGGTGATCAAGAGCGGCCCTGCCTAATATGGCACAATAGTCAATATGTATTTTCTAGCATTCAAAATAACAAAATCATGGCTCAAAACTTATACTGCCAAAATGGGGTAAGAAAAACATGCATCAATACGTATACATCTTGTACACTTACAATGGAACAACATGGTATAAACTTAACCATTAGAAAACATCCTGCATGAGAAATTTTGTTGTTCTGTTTCAAAGCGCTTGGGAGAGTGAATGAATGACTGTTATAAATACCAAGCTCTTCTTGATGTGGGAAGAGAGCCCAAAGTGATGAAGTTGTTAGACACTACCACTTTGGTGAAACCCCTGAGCTGGGGTAGGATGCCGACGATCCCAGAAACATAAAATTGGGGCAAAACAGTATCCGAGCCCACGACAATGGGGTGTTCTCACGTGCCAAAGGGGCACAACTCTGTACAGCAAATAATAGCACCTTAGTGGACTTTGCCACCAATGCCCCCTGTGCCAATGGAAACTGATTTGATATTTGTAACAGATTAGTACTTATAACATTCATCTTGTTCATTAGCTAAACTACACTTCTTGTAAATATGAAGTCGTTCATTCTATGCAGAGCTTATTTCATGGTTTTAACACAGTTGTCAATACAGTCATTTGGAATAAAAAAATTCTTTCTTTTCTTTTACACTGCTATGAACAAAATTTCAGTTACAGCATGGTAATTTCAGTTGTGTCTATGTAATGCTGAAGGAAATCCACAAGTGATGGGTTGTAGACATAAATTTCTTTCATGAAATCCACTATCATGGATATTGTGCAAAATTCAGAGATTCTGACCGACAATCACAGAATCCTGGCCCTGTAAGGGATATAACTCTGCACATCCAATTGTGGCATCTTGGATGTCAGGCTTCATGTCCCCTTTCAACATTCTGGTACTCTGCAATACAATATGCCTACTGATGTCGCAGAGTAAGTTTGGCACAAACTCTAAATTTCCTAACATGTATCTTTTGGTTCTGCTTTGAGAGGGAGCCATTTTCAACATGAATACACAACCAGATACTTAATCTACTGATAACATTTTGACCTGCCAAGCAGTTTTGGAAAACAGTTTTGATCTGTAATTAATTATTATTATAATTATAATTGCTAACACAGAGACACTCAACTAAAATAAACATACACAAAAATATCTTGTAAATATGAGAGAATTAATAAATGAAATCAAGTGACTTGCTTTTTCTCGTTGTGTGAGATGATCCTGATAATGTACACACAAACTCAAGTACAGTCTGAATCTGTTGCTGATAATATGTTCCACATCACTGCAATATGTTTACACTGAGCATTGCAATTTTGAAGTCTTCACGGTGAGACAAGTACATCATACCTGCATCACTGGATACAAAACACAAAGGCATCTTAGAGGCTGACATCAACCAATGGTGACTTGTACAATTATTCCAGTTCAAATAGAAATTTTTATCAAAATTATCATTTAAAATAATTGAACAAAATGAAGTGAAGTTCTAATCAAGCAGAACATAGGATTTGCTGGCCTCAATCACACCTTCCTCTGATACCCTGATAAAAGGATTTACAACCTTAACTTGATTTTGTGTTCTTTGATCATAATGACTAATCTCTAAACACTGACGAATATTCTTAAACTTTCCTGCTTCAACACTCACCTCCATCCAACATGCAAAATGTGAGCCAGTGAGTGAGTTAGTTTTATGCCACTTTTAGCAATATTCCAGCAACATGATGGCAGGGGACACCAGAAAAGGACTTCACACATTGTACCCATGTGGGGAATCGAACCCGGTTCTTCAACCAGACAAGCAGACGATTTAACCACTAGGCTACCCCACCGCCATGTAACATAAAAAAGAACAAAATGCATAACAAATAATTAAATGCAGCATGAATGGTTATCGAAACCAGCTTGTGAGAATATTCTGGTTACTCAAATTATGTTCTAAACACTCACTACAGCCAAACATTGCAATCTCGGGGTGCATATGCCCAATACAATATGCCTTCATCAATCAACTTTGTGTGGTATACAAGAAACATTTCACCACTGGGATGTGAGTATAAATACAACTTATTTACCATTCCCAAAGCAATAACAAAGACTCTCTCTGTCCCCATACAGCTCGTTCCAGCTTCTGTCAATGTTTCATCTCAACCTGGACTCCTCAGAAGAACTCGTCCATAACGGAATGGTCGTTGGGTTGCAGACCTCTTTCCATCAGCGCCTTCTTCTTCTTCTCCTCCTCTTGCTGCTTCTGCAGCTGTTCTTCTCTCTGCATCTCAAGGATTTCATCTATTGACACCTGCTCCAGGGGTAGGTTGTTCTCATTCTCCAGGTCCTGCAGCGACAAACATACACATGCACTTAAGCTACTTTGGTTTGTTGCTTAACGCAGCAGTCAGTAACATTCCAGCTACATGGAGGCAGTCTGTAAATAAGCGAGTCTGGACCAGACAATCCAGTGATCAACAGCATGAGCATCGATCTACGCATTTGGGATACGATGACATGGGTCAACCAAGTCAGAGAGCCTGACCACCCGATGCTGTTAGTCACCTCTTACGACAAGTGTCGGTTGATGAAGACCAATTCTAACCCGGATTTTCACACGTAACGCCACTTTGAACAGTATATCAGTTGTACCATGGTGAGTTAACTGAAGGTGGGTAAAAAGGCCAAGGGGGTGTATGTTTCTGAAATACACCCCTCTGGTGAAACCCAGGAGGATGGTCTTAGCAGATCGAAAACAAGGATAATTCAGGCAAATCGGGATTTGAGTCAGGGTTCTTATGTACCCACTGGATGCAACTCGGCACAGTGAATTGCAGCGTTTTCGATAAATGTGTCTCCTCACATGAAATTACAACATACTTCTACTCAACAACAGTTCAGGTGGACCTGGACTTGCCCTCACACTTCAGCCATGACATAATACCAATACTGATGACATTTAATTATTCTGATTTTGGGTGAAAGTCTCCTTGTACTATGCTCCTCTGCTAACAAGAGGCAGCTTAAATCTTATCAAACAACATTGAAAATGATTTTATTGCCGTAGGAAATATTTTTTTAGCCCAAGTCATGGTAAGAAACTGCATTAAACGCTTACAAGTTCATTTACATTTCGGTATAGCTTCTTATACCATTGTCAAACTATACCAAAACGTCGCATCATAAGAAATAAAGAAGTTGTTATCCATAAAGTATTATACTTTTCTATTATCCATCAACTTCTAAAATGCCCATCAAACAGATTGTTTTATGGAATTAATCATAATTAGTGATAAAAGATATCGTTAACACCATGACAGCTTAGGTGTACATGGTACATGTATATTACAAATGTCCATTTTTATGCTACTCAAAAGAAATTAAAGAACTCCTGATTCTTGGTATGACAGATTAACTGTAGTAAAATGAAATACACATGTAAATGGTTGTTCTTTAATCTCCTGTGAGCAGCATGTTATAACTATTCCTAAAAAAATGTCTTAGAAAAGCAATTTCTTCCCCAATTGAAACACAGATACATATCGCAATATCGCAAAATTAAATTTCATGGTAAACTTTGCCCAAATGGTAACCTGACAATGCAGACACACACCGGTAACATTTTGGGATTAAAATAATACACTAATTGGTCTTTCTTGAACATGACCAAGCCAGGAATATATAAAACAAGTGTCTTGGTGAGGTAAACCTGTAGATTGGTCCATACTTACAATTTCCCCACATAGCACGACATTCTCCCCTCTTACGATGAAGATGCCTCTTGGAATGTCGCCAAACTTCTTTCCCACATGAATTCTCTCGATTGTTCGGTGCAGGACGAGGTTTGCTGCAATACAAACAAATGTTTCAGAATACTAACTCTATTTAACTTTATCTCCGTTTATTGTGTTTATATAAAGCTGGACGCAAGTCTCCCTTTTATGGATATGCTATGCCTATTATTAGATTATTTTGACAACTGCATTAAATAACAAATAAATTAGACCCAAAATCAGTCTGGTGTCTTTCCTTATGTTGTCTGAACGATCTCAATAAAATCTTTCTGACTTTGTGGATTTGAGGGGTTACAGCTAAAACAGAACCTCCTTGAAACTTGAACCAATGAACAAAGCACCTATTGGCAATAACAGTAGGGGTGGTGTGGTAGTCCAGTGGTGAAGGCGTTTGCTCATCACGTTGAAGACACAGGTTCGATTCCCCACATGGGTACAATATGTGAAACCCATTTCTGGTGTTCCCTACCATACAAATGCTGGAATGTTGAAACAAGTGGCACAAAACCATAGTCACCCACTCACTCCATAACAGAAACTTGCACAAATCGAAAGCAGGTCCAGTTACCATTGTTACGAGAATTAAATGTGTGGCAGGTATGAAGTCATGTAAGGTTTGGTTCGTTTGAAGTTGTCATTGTTTATAGTTTTAACGCAAGCAGTATCATTTTTAAGCGTTAGTCTATGGTTATTTTAGATCTTGCCTAGTCCATTACGGGTATAAGGGGTGTCAAGAGATTGTGTCATCGCTTGTGTTGTGCCCTTTGACTTGCTTGGCCCCTTGTGTTGATTGGTTCTTTTAAAACACTAAACATTACTTGCACGTCAGCCATTGCACTTCACTTCAATCCGATCGCAGTTCAGAGCATAAAACAACTAACACGTCCGATCTAAAGGTAGGAACAATATTTCAAGTATTTTATATATGTTGTACTAAATAACAATGTTATTAGTGCTAATTAAATGTTCTTCATGATAATAAAATAGGTTAAAGTATATTTGTGCAATTGTAAATATTATGCCAAGGTAAGTAGACAATCTTGCAGTGATATAGTAAATAACGATCATGCTTAAAACTATGATACTTTGTTTATTTGAATGATGTTTATGCATAGGTTATTTATTGTGCATTATAACCATAGCGCACTTGGTTTGCATTGTACTTACGATGCAGAATGATTGAATGTGTGATTGATTTTGGGTATGACCTAATGTGGCTTACACATAGTTACGTCAGTACCGAACCATAGCTATTGATTGTTGTGATTTGTATACATACATATTTAGAATATTGAGACTTTGGTTTGCTTGTTCTTGTAGCAGCAGTATATTCCTCTTGGAGGCGTGGCTCTTCTACACCCCAGTGTCACGCACAGGGTATGAACGTTATCATTGTGTCATATGTATAAAGTTATTATGTTATTCACATAGTTGATGGATTTTATGTATTATGTACAAACACGTTCACCATAATGTGTACGTTGGTACGACGTATTTGAAACGTTATTCTAATACCAAGGAGTTACCGTTCTTGGTGGTTCAGTCAACGTGTTAATGGCTATGTACCTATTACCACAACAACATTATATAATGTGCACCTGTTGACATTAATTGATATTACACTCATTTCTAATGTTAGAAATGATATAAGAGATTCAATGATTGTATATATTTATCTATATTTACATGTTTGCCCTTAACTTGGCACTTATTTTGTAAACATGTGTTTCAGGGTGTCTGTCAATAAAGAATAGATCTCACAACCCGTAATCAGTGTCTGGTCCTCAGTATTCCCATTCACGTCCCGGTTACATAATGGAGCCCCCAGTGAGGATCTTTGCAGACTATTGATGACAGAGCCACCACAGGTTGAGAAGGATGAAGCATTGCCTGCATCTTGCTGTTCGTTGAACCGGTCAGTGCACAGGTTTCATTTACAGGACTGATTGTAACACCAGTGCTGGGACTTGTTCTGTGATTACCTCGGACATATGAGACTTGAGCTGACTTGAGCTGAGTCTGGAGACTTGTGTGTCATAAGCGTGTGTGCTCATGAGTTCTGACTTTATTGAACTGTGCATTATGTGCGTCACGTGACTTACTTGATGTGATATATTTACCTGACCCAATACCTCTTGGTTTGAATTTACTTAACTTTGTCCAAGTACTTGCCACAATAAAGACCTTATTGTCATCCATCATATGCCATAGAGCAATTGTACTTACATTATGAAGCAGTGGGTGTTGATTCAATTCCTTTAGTTAAGGGCCGGCCATAGTTTGTGTGTGTTCTCTTGACTCCGTTGGTACCAACCTGTTTAGTTAGTTTGTGGATCCACACATTGAATTTTAACTTAGATCATTTCAGTCAGTATAATTTAGATATTTTATTTGTACAATTACTGGCTTTGCTTGATTAGTTATTTCTTAGCATCAGATCATATTTCAGGTCCGCATGTAAGTGTGAGAGTGTGATCTTTACTTTTCAGCTCTACCCTATAGATTAATTTGGTGACATCTAAACTTAGATAAACTTTAATTAGGGACTTAAACCCAGTGATACTTGTACCACAGTGACGCCTTACATCTACACTGCACTAGATTGCACTGCACTGTAACCATACTGTTTACTAATTCCAATGTTTCCCCCATCTATCCGTTTATCGTGCAGGTAGACTGTTGTATATGCTGATATGCTGGTGATTGAATTCACACTCCCGCTTGTTTGTCCTGTCGAACTCTAAATTGCATAACCTGTCAATCATTACTTAGTTGTGTAGTTATTGTTCAGGTTTTGGGCTTGAATAATTGTTTCGAAGGTTTATTGTTGCTGGTAATCTTGTATGACGTTTCTTTAAAGAAACAAAACAACTTAGTTACCAACTCCAATAGGACTCTGTTCTTTTCTCATTCTTTTCAACTCATACTTTGGCCAAATATCTTAGCCAATTACCCATTCATTCTTGTATTCTGATTATACCTGATTGAACTAGTTCAGGATTTCACTTGCCTTTGACGGTGCAGCTTGGTATCCAGTGGGGATCAATCGGTTTATTGCGAGTTAAGCATATTTAGTTACACGTTCACAGTGTCAACTTTGTGTCAACTTCTAGTTCATTTCCCCTCTATATCTCTACAACAATGGAGCTTGATAAGGATGGATTGAAAAGTCTACTAACAGTGTTTGAGAAGATGGGAATGTCTCCCAAAGTCGACACAGGGGAGGACTTTAAACAATGGATTCATGGAATGGCACAACAGGAAGGGCCCTTGATTAAACTGGAGGAAGGAACAGCCCACAAGATACCTACTGGGAACAATGATCCCACAGATCCTGGGACAAGCTCAACTACAAGTTACCATCACTTCCCTAGGCTTCCCATATTTAGTGGAGAGACAGACAAGGATACTACATATGATTTGTGGAGATATGAAGTTGACTGTCTTCTACAGTCAAAGACTCATACACGTGAAGTTGTCTTACAAGCTATCAGGAAATCTCTCAAAGGAGAAGCAGCTTTAATATCCATGAAACTAGGCCATAAAGCAAGCACAGAGGATATATTAGCTAAAATCAGGAGTGCATTCGGTACACTTAGGAGGAAGGAGAGTCTTATGTCACAGTTTTATGGTGCATCTCAGAAGGAAGATGAGGATGTGTCGGCATGGGGATGTCGCCTTGAGAACCTTATGTATCAGATATCAGAGCAGCGCCACTTAACCTTGGACGAACAGGATGAGATGCTTCGGGAGCAAAATGTGGGATGGGCTCAAACCTGGATTGAAAAGCTTGGCTGCGCACAAATATGAGGTCATTTCTAATTTCGATGAACTACGTCTTTGTCTGCGAGAAGTGGAATTTGACCTTAACAGAAACAAGCCCACGGCAGAGAAAAAAAAGTCAGCTACAGCTAAAATGGCTTTCACTTCAGATAGTGCTGAGGCAGCTTCAAAGCAAGAAGTTCTTGACTTGAAGGAAATGGTGAAGGAAATAAGAGCAGAGATTGCAGAGCTCAGGTGCCAACATCAGGGTCAAGTTTACCAGCACCAGGTTTCAACTCCGCCATCCCAAGTACACCCCAGTTTCTCAAACCCCAGAGTCAATCATCCCCACAGACCTGAGAGAAAAGTATCAAGTGGAGGCAAAGGAAAATCTCCAGCATACACTGGTTCACAATCCAAGCCATTTCTTTCTACACATCCAGGTTTTGATGTCACCAATGAACAGCCATATGGAACTGACCTACAAGCATCAGGGATGCATCCTTATTCAACACAAGGAACAACTGGATATGTCTCTCCACCAGAGAGAGGGACACTGTGGAACAACACTAATGAAGAGTTGCCTAGATGTTTTAGGTGTGGTTACCCAGGTCATATTGCTCGGGGATGCAGAGTGAGACTTGATCACCTACGTCATCCTTTAAACTGGCCCAGGCCTATGGGAAGGGGCTGCCCTTAGGTTGTTCATCACGCCCTACAGTACCAGATGGATTAGTTGGCAACAGTAATGAAGTTGAGATTGTAATTGAAGGAGTGCCCGTACAAGCATTAGTGGACACAGGAGCTACTGTGTCAATTGTCTCTGAGACCTTTTACAAATCTCATTTGCAGCACATTGCGCTTGAACCCATTGGAGATATTTTGGACATCGAATGTGCTGGTGGTCAGTCACTCCCATATCAGGGATATATACAAGTTAATATTATCCTTACAGGTGGAGGTATCAGCCCTCAAAATCCTGTCTCCAGTCTACTCTTGGTTGTTCCTGAAACAAGGTATAATGCACGTGTCCCTGCCTTGCTGGGTACCAATGTTTTGCAATGTCTTTTGGATGAATGTAGGCAACTCCATGGACCAAAATTCCTACAGAGGGCAGATTTACATACACCTTGGTACTTGGCCTACAGAAGCATTGCACTCAGAGAGAAAGAGTTAGTACGCAATGGATGGCGTCTTGGTTTAGTCAGGAGCACTGAGACTCAGAATATGATCATTCCTCCAAATAGTAATGTTATCATAAAGGGTCGGATCACGAAGGGATTGACATCGCCAGGAATTTGTGCACTTCTTCAGCCTACCCACAGGTCATCGCTACCGGCAGATATTGATGTTGCTCCAACACTCATCACTTACAATAGTTCAAGGCCAGAGATTGTAAATGTACACATCTCAAATGTGACCACGCAGACCTTATGTATACCTCCAAAGGCTCTTCTCTGTGAACTTCAACCAGTAACCATACATGATTCACCCAAATGCCTACCTGTTGAAGCAGATGTGTTATTGGATCAGATAGATATTGATAAGGAAGGATTATCAGAGGAGGAGATTAAACATGGACTGGATATGATCATGAGATTTCAGGATATATTTTCAAAGAATGAGGAGGATATTGGACAATCTTCAATGGTTCATCATCGAATAGAACTCACGGATAATAGACCATTCAAACAGCGGCATCGGCGCATACCTCCTGCTATGTATGAGGAAGTTCGCAGTCACCTACAACAGCTCTTATCTGCTGGGGTTATTAGGAAATCGCACAGCCCTTGGGCTTCCAACATTGTACTGGTTCGCAAACGGGACGGTCGACTAAGGATGTGTGTTGATTATCGCCAGCTGAATAAGCGTACCATCAAGGACTCATACGCTTTGCCGAGGATTGAAGAGCTATTGGATTGTCTTGGTGGTATGAAGTACTTTTCAGTACTAGATATGAAGAGCGGGTACCACCAAGTTGAAATCGAGGAAGACCACAAGTCTCGTACAGCATTTACCATTGGACCGCTCGGGTTCTTTGAATACAACAGAATGCCATTTGGATTATCAAACGCACCGGCTACCTATCAGCGACTCATGGAAGAATGCCTAGAGGGTCTCCATCTCAAAATATGCCTCATCTACCTCGATGACCTTATCATATTTTCCAGGACCTATGAGGAACACCTTGAGAGGCTACAACTTGTTTTTCGTCGTCTCAAAGAATGTGGCTTAAAGCTTGCCCCAAAGAAATGTAAATTTTTTTAAGCGAAAGGTTCGATATGTAGGGTATATCGTATCTGAAGCTGGGATTGAAGCTGATCCGGACAAGATTGACAAGATAAGACATTGGCCAACACCTTCTAATCCAGAGGAAGTCAGAAGATTTCTTGGATTTGGAGGTTACTATCGCAAATTCATCAAGGACTTTTCAAAGATTTCAAGGCCTCTCTCTGAGCTTATGCCCAAATCTGCTTCGAAGAAATCTAGACAACCATCCAAGGATCAAGACTGGATCTGGGGCCCAAAACAGGAAGAAGCATTCAGTGAGTTAAAGCACCGCCTGTGTTCCCCTCCTGTACTAGGCTATGCAGACTATTCACAACCCTTTGAACTCCATACTGATGCAAGTACACATGGGTTGGGTGCAGTGTTGTATCAGCTCCAGAATGGCAATCTGCGTGTCATTGCCTATGCAAGTAGAGCATTAGGACGTTCTGAGAGGAACTATTCAGCACATAAACTTGAGTTTTTTTGTGTTTGAAATGGTCCATCTCAGAAAAGTTCCATGACTATTTGTATGGGCATGATTTTGTTGTGTTCACTGATAACAACCCTTTAACCTATGTACTTACCAGTGCTCGACTCGATGCAACTGGGCATAGGTGGTTGGCTGCACTAGCAAACTACAACTTCAGTATCAAGTACCGTCCAGGAAAGGCTAATATTGATGCGGACGCATTATCTCGCTTACCAGATCATCAGGATTATGTTGAAGATGAGCAAATATCTCAGGAATCTGTGAGAGCCATTTGTGATACCATCCATGTCTCAAGTTTGGTTGAAAGTCTGTGCTTCTCTATGAATACAATTGAAGAGGATACGGAGCTTGAGGATGATCAGTGCGAGCTGAATGCAAGGGAATGGAGGAGAGCTCAAGCCAAAGATTCATCTCTTCGGATAATCCTAGAACACTTGAGAAATGGCACATCTCCAAATAGGATGCAGTACATCAATGATCCTGAAGTGAAATCATTATTGAAATGCTTTATCCAATTCCAAATGAAGAGGGGGAGTTCTCTATAGAATTACCACTGTAGATGGAGAAGACCGAGAACAGTTGGTTCTACCGATGAAATGTCGCACTGCAGCACTGCGCAGTTTACATGACAACGTTGGACATCCAGGTAGAGATAGAACTTTAGCACTTTTGAGGGATAGATTCTACTGGCCTGCGATGTCAAATGATGTTGAAGCACACTTGCAAAATTGTGAACGCTGTCTTCGAAGGAAAACACCAACAAGCCGAGCTCCAATGGTAAACATCCAGACATCAGCACCTTTGGAACTTGTATGTATGGATTTCTTGACGTTGGAACCATCAAAAGGTGGATTGGAGCATGTTCTAGTTGTAACTGATCACTTTACCAGATATGCCCAAGCATATCCAGCAAGAAACATGTCAGCCAAAACAACTGCTGAAACTTTCTTCACAAATTTTGTCATTCACTATGGACTACCAAGGAGGATACATTCAGATCAAGGAGCTAATTTCACTGGTAAAGTGATGCAGGAACTGTGCCAACTGTTGAAAATTGAGAAGTCCCAAACCACGCCGTACCATCCCATGGGCAATGGTATGTGCGAGCGCTTCAATCGAACACTCTGTAACATGCTAGGCACTCTGGATCCCGACCAGAAAAGGAATTGGAAAGCCCATATAGGTCCCTGGTACATGCCTACAATTGTGTAAGACATGAGACAACATCAGCATCTCCATTCTTTTTGATGTTCGGGAAGACTCCCTAGATTACCTGTCGATTTGGCTTTTGGATTGGACATAGAGCCAGGAAAATCCAGATCTATTTCTGAATACACCAAGTCCCTCAGGGAACGTTTGAAGCAAGCATATGAATTGGCATCTGCATCAGCAAAGAAGGCTCAGTCCAAACAGAAATCAAATTACGATCAAAGAGCTCGTGCTGCAACACTCGAGGTCGGAGATAGAGTCCTTGTAAAAATTGTAGCCTTTGCGGGACGACACAAGCTGGCTAACAAATGGGAAGATGACGTGTATATTGTTGTGAATCAACCTAATCCATCTATTCCTGTTTTCACAGTTGTGCAAGAAAATTGCGAGGGAAGGAAGAAGACACTTCATCGAAATCTTCTGTTGCCTGTTGGCTACATTCCTAACTTGGAACCACCTGTTCCAACACCAAGACGAGTAACCCCAACGCCCAGACAAGTGATCCCAACACCCCGGAAAAGATCATCAACATCCCTGAAAGCCACATCAGAGATATCGCACAAGGATGATGAAAGTTCTTCAGATGGACAAGACTCGGACATTTACTCCTATTCATATCATGCTCCAGTGTTCACTGATTCATCAGTGGATGGGCCAGCTGAAGTACAGACAGCGAGGGTAGGAAATGATGAAGCTAGTGCTGTCCATGATGAGAGGGAGGAAGTAACGTCTGAAGATACTGGTCAGCCGGATCAGACATCAGCTGCAGGTGGCGATTTCAGAAATGAAGTATCTGATGAAGAGAATAATCAGCCAGCAGAAAGGGAAATGCCAACTCCAGTTCCACGACGCTCAGGCCGAACCCGAGTTCAACCGAGATGGATGCGGAGTGGGGAGTATGTTCTCTCTGCGGTAGCTACACCAGACTGGTTGGTGAGAGCGGATTATCTCAATTCTCTTGCCTCTGGGGCAATGTTTGCTCACCAGCCAGAGAAGCTAACTGAGGCTATTCTGGGTGTTGTCACTGGTAAATTATAATGATGGGGACATCATTTGTTGGGGAGGGGGAAGTGTGTGGCAGGTATGAAGTCATGTAAGGTTTGGTTCGTTTGAAGTTGTCATTGTTTATAGTTTTAACGCAAGCAGTATCATTTTTAAGCGTTAGTCTATGGTTATTTTTAGATCTTGCCTAGTCCATTACGGGTATAAGGGGTGTCAAGAGATTGTGTCATCGCTTGTGTTGTGCCCTTTGACTTGCTTGGCCCCTTGTGTTGATTGGTTCTTTTAAAACACTAAACATTACTTGCACGTCAGCCATTGCACTTCACTTCAATCCGATCGCAGTTCAGAGCATAAAACAACTAACACGTCCGATCTAAAGGTAGGAACAATATTTCAAGTATTTTATATATGTTGTACTAAATAACAATGTTATTAGTGCTAATTAAATGTTCTTCATGATAATAAAATAGGTTAAAGTATATTTGTGCAATTGTAAATATTATGCCAAGGTAAGTAGACAATCTTGCAGTGATATAGTAAATAACGATCATGCTTAAAACTATGATACTTTGTTTATTTGAATGATGTTTATGCATAGGTTATTTATTGTGCATTATAACCATAGCGCACTTGGTTTGCATTGTACTTACGATGCAGAATGATTGAATGTGTGATTGATTTTGGGTATGACCTAATGTGGCTTACACATAGTTACGTCAGTACCGAACCATAGCTATTGATTGTTGTGATTTGTATACATACATATTTAGAATATTGAGACTTTGGTTTGCTTGTTCTTGTAGCAGCAGTATATTCCTCTTGGAGGCGTGGCTTTTCTACACCCCAGTGTCACGCACAGGGTATGAACGTTATCATTGTGTCATATGTATAAAGTTATTATGTTATTCACATAGTTGATGGATTTTATGTATTATGTACAAACACGTTCACCATAATGTGTACGTTGGTACGACGTATTTGAAACGTTATTCTAATACCAAGGAGTTACCGTTCTTGGTGGTTCAGTCAACGTGTTAATGGCTATGTACCTATTACCACAACAACATTATATAATGTGCACCTGTTGACATTAATTGATATTACACTCATTTCTAATGTTAGAAATGATATAAGAGATTCAATGATTGTATATATTTATCTATATTTACATGTTTGCCCTTAACTTGGCACTTATTTTGTAAACATGTGTTTCAGGGTGTCTGTCAATAAAGAATAGATCTCACAACCCGTAATCAGTGTCTGGTCCTCAGTATTCCCATTCACGTCCCGGTTACATGGAAAGAAGTGTTGTTAAAACCTGATGAAATGGCTCACTGAGGTGACGTTTCAGAATGCATGCGACTGAAGACCAGATTTACTGAAGTAAGTTGTGAAATTATGAAAAGATTAAACAAGCTCACAGGTTTCAATAACAAATAAACTGCTCACAAAACAGGGAAATGATTGTTTGAACGAGATTGTTTGAAAGTTGCTAAGATAGTATGTTTAAAACCTGTATGTACAAAACAGGACAATTCTAAATATTTTTACCCTGCTGGAGTGCTGGCCCCTCACAAATAAGTACGTACCAAATTGATCAATGCTCCGCAGAAACCCTATCAAAGTTCTCCCATCTCGTAATACCACCAGAAGCTTCTCTGAAAAAGAATACGTAGAAAGATAAGCGTTCACGAAGTAAGAAACCTGTATCATATTATTTCCAACACAAAAGTTACAATACAAATTTGACAGCGTGACACCCCCGGTGACAAGACATTTCTACGCGACAGAAGGGCATAGCGGCGCCTTGGCTCCCCCAAACACCGTATCTTGCACTTACTATCTATCTCCTGAATTAAACTTGCAGTTCCTGGAAGATAATTCATTGTGAACGACACCTTGGATTGTAAACTTCTTAATACAAGCGAGCATGGATTATTTCGACCTTCACCTTTGGTGCGTGATCGCTCAACACAACGCTAGACTTATGTTATTGATTCCACCAGCAGTGGGCTTTGTCGTGGTATGGAGCTTGCGGGTAAACACGAACGGGAAAATAAATCCGAACAACGCTTTGATAATTTTCAGTTTTGTATGCCAAATCCGATATGGTGCATCAACAATATAGCTCTTCTTTCCGCATACCCCACAATTACCCGATTTAATACCAATATATGAATTTTGTTTAGTTCACAATAAGGCTTTAGCAAACAAAAGGTGGTTATTGAATCACACAGACAGACAGACAAACAGATAGACAGACAGACCTGTGGACATCCTTAATATTTTTTCATATATTCTTCAGCAAAATACGTTGTTATAATAATAATTGATAAGGTGAGTCTGCTTTATAAACGTATGTGTATATATGTACGTACGTACGCAGTGACGGATCCAGAGGAGGGGGTTCAGGGGGTATCCAATTTGTATGGATCAATGTTCATGTTGGTGTTCATCACTGGTCCACACTCAGGTATTTACTGACTACCGTTAAATAGCTGGAACCAGGGATACTCTACAACATGTAGTCTCCCTGCTGGAACATAGTTAAGTGTGGCGTTAAACAAGAAACAGACAATGTATGTTTGACCATAGGACTTAAACTAAAATATGTTGTAAGGGCCGATCTATAAAGAACCCAACGTAATCTTCCGTAAAGATTCCCCCATCCTCCTTCAATCCAAGTCTGTATGTTGAGGCTTCAGTTTTACCACGTTTTACCACAATACCACGTCAAATATAACAATGACGAAACTCGTGGAAATTTAATGGTCCACATGGAAGTTTCTTCTTTTGGTGTAGAAAATATAGATTTATCACCCAAAACTGACTCCCCCAGTAGCTATCGTTTGTGTGAGATCAAGCGATATCTACAAGCAACTGAATTGTCATAATGCTATTACGTCGGTGTCGTCTCAGGACGCCGACCTTTCGATTTTCCACTAGTCTCAGGACGTCGACCTGCGGTTTCCTTTGAAGGTTAGGGTTCCTAATATTAGGGCTTCTAATTAGGGTTCTAGATGTTTCGGATAAGGTGGCTTAATTAGCGTTGCGGATAATCTACGTCGTCGGTTAATGACCTCACTAGATGTTTTGATAACAAGGTGAACTCTGTCAATATATGATGTCACTAGAAGCCGGTAACGTTGATGATTTTTGACCATTATAGCCTGAACCATTACATTCGTCAGTTAATGACCTCACAATGCGTGAACTCGTGACTTCTGAACCAAGAACACAGTTGACGACAATGCAGCTGACCTCACAAAGTTGACATGACAATGCTATGATGTCATGAAGCCGATGACGTTGATGATTTTGGATAATAATTGAATCTCACCCTCGTGACTTCTGATATGAAATATGCTAAGCAGCAAAAGAAACGTCAGTTTGGAATTTTCCATCGCAGAAACGGATAACTGTAAACTCATTTAATGTTTTGATTGTATATTTTTAACAACATCTCCAACTTTACCTGAGCAAAGACTTTCCTTCCCAAACTCAGAATGGAACCCAGGAAATGGTCTCAAAAACGCAACCTGATCTCGGAGATGGTACGGTGTTCTCCATGTTTTTCATGCAACTCGTGCTGCACGTGCTGTTCACAAGGACCAGCCCTATAAAATGCACCCCAAACCTGGTTGAAACATTCACATTACAACGTCAGCAGGATGCCGCGACTCACGACAGCTCAGAGGAACCAGGCGCTAGGAAGAGTTGAAGCTGGCCACACTGCATAAGCCGTACTGCCAATCACTTCTGTACAGAATCCCCTTCATGCAGGCATCCGAAACAGCACGCCAAACAGTGGGAACACACGGAAGACCAATCAGTACTGATACAGTACGCCGACGTCTTAACAGCGGGAACCTCCATTGCCGTAGACCTTACCGTGGACCTATCCTCATCCCTCGTCATCGGCGTGAACGTCTACAGTTTGCCCTACAACACCAAAACTGGCGATACAGGCAATGGAGAACTGTTCTGTTCACAGATGAGAGTCGGTACTGCGTATCAACTGCAGATTGCAGAACAAGAATATGGCGACGACGTGGCCAGCGTTACTCAGACCAATGTGTTATGGAAAGAGACTCATGGGGAGGTGCAAGCATCATGGTATGGGGTGGAGTAGGCCTGAACCAGAGAGTGGGTCCTGTGACGTTCCAGAACCTTGGTCTAGGGAGAGGAGGCGGCATCACAGCGGTGCACTACATCGACCAAGCTCTCAAACCCCACGTCACACCACATTTCGCAAGTCACCGGAACAACATTTTCCAGCATGATAACGCCCGGGCCCATACTGCCGGAGCTACACGGGAGTTCCTACAGCACAACGGTGTCAACATTATGCAGTGGCCAGCCCTTAGTCCTGATTTAAACCCAATTGAACATCTTTGGGATGAAATTCAGAGGAGACTGAACAATGTCATACCAAGGCCGAACACAGCAGATTTATTGCGCCAGGCCTTTCTCAGAGTGTGGTTCCAGGTGCCAATGCCCTTTCGTCAATCAATTGGTGCACTCCATGCATAGACGCTGTGCTGCAGTTATTGCTGCTCGTGGTGGTCACACTAGATACTGAAGTCAAGAGTCTGAATGGACTGCAAACGTTAACGTAGTGACTTGAAATTCTGCTGAGTTATTCATTGATGTGTCAAGATATTGTACACAAAAATGTTTTTGATCCGCTTATTATGTCAATTTCTGTAATGATTTGATTACAGTGCCTATCTAAATTTTAATTCGTACTGACGGGTTTTTTTTGCTGCTGAGTATATATCAACACTTGTTGATTCAAGTAAAAATATCAGAAGACACTTGGGTGAGATTCTCTATATCCTGTGGACAGATACAAGAGTCCTACAAGAATACGAAGTTAGTTTTCGCTGAAGTTTCGTGTTGATCAGAGTGAAACAACATTTTCTACAGTGCAGTGAAAACGTGAGATATCATCTTCACCAGGGACATGTACGGTGCTGTCTTGATGCATTAATTCTTCTGTGAAATGAAGGGAAAAACGACTACCGCACAGTCAATTGGAAGCTACAGTCAACTACCGCTCCCTGGGTCAGGGAACATGTGGCAACTACCGCTGCCCGGCCCAGAAAACATAGGTGGCAACTATTGTTCTCCGGCCCAGAGAAGATACGTGGCAACTACTGTTGCCCGGCCTAGAGCACAGAGCTGACAATAACTGTTGCCCGACCTAGAGCACAGAGGTGGCAACTAATGTTGTCCGGCCTAGAGCACAGAAGTGACAACTACTGTTGCCCGGCCTAGACAGATGTGACAACCACTGTTGCCCGGCTGACAGCACAGAGGTGACAACTGCTGTTGCCCGGCCTAGAGCACAGAAGTGACAACTACTGTTGCCCGGCCTAGAGCACAAACTACTGTTGTCCGTTGCCCCTAGAGCACAGTTGTCCGGTGACAACTACTGTTGTCCGACCTAGAGCACAGACGTGACAACTACTGTTGCCCGGCCTAGAGCACAGAGGTGACAATAACTGTTGTCCGGCCTAGAGCACAGAGGTGACAACTACTGTTGTCCGACCTAGAGCACAGAGGTGACAACTACTGTTGTCCGACCTAGAGCACAGACGTGACAACTACTGTTGCCCGGCCTAGAGCACAGAGGTGACAATAACTGTTGCCCGGCCTAGAGCACAGAGGTGGCAACTACTGTTGCCCGGCCGAGAGCACAGAGGTGGCAACTACTGTTGCCCGGCTTAGACAGAGATGACAACAACTGTTGCCCGACCTGGAGCACAGAGGTGACAACAACTGTTGTCCGACCTAGAGCACAGAAGTGGCAACTACTGTTGCCCGGTCTAGAGCACACAGGTGACAATAACTGTTGCCCGGCCTAGAGCACAGACGTTGCAACAACTGTTGCCCGGCCGAGAGCACAGAGGTGACAACTACTGTTGCCCAGCCTAGACAGAGATAACAACTACTGTTGCCCGGCCTAGAGCACAGAGGTGGCAACTACTGTTGCCCGGCCTAGAGCACAGAGGTGACAATAACTGTTGCCCGGCCTAGACAGAGATAACAACTACTGTTGCCCGACCTAGAGCACAGAAGTGACAACTACTTTTGTCCGGCCTAGAGCACAGAGCTGACAATAACTGTTGCCCGGCCTAGAGCACAGAGCTGACAATAACTGTTGCCCGGCCTAGAGCACAGAGGTGGCAACTACTGTTGCCTGGCCTCGAGCACAGAGGTGGCAACTACTGTTGCCCGGCCTAGAGCACAGAGGTGACAACTACTGTTGTCCGGCCTAGAGCACAGAGGTGACAACTACTGTTGCCCGACCTAGAGCACAGAAGTGACAACTACTGTTGCCCGACCTAGAGCACAGAAGTGACAACTACTGTTGCCCGACCTAGAGCACAGAGGGGACAACTACTGTTGCCCGACCTAGAGCACAGAGGTGACAACTACTGTTGCCCGACCTAGAGCACAGAAGTGACAACTACTGTTGCCCGGCCTAGAGCACTGAGGTGGCAACTATTGTTGTCCGGCCTAGAGCACAGAGGTGGCAACTACTGTTGTCCGGCCTAGAGCACAGAGGTGACAACTACTGTTGCCCGACCTAGAGCACAGAGGTGACAACTACTGTTGCCCGGCCTAGAGCACAGAAGTGACAACTACTGTTGCCCGACCTAGAGCACAGAGGTGACAACTACTGTTGTCCGGCCTAGAGCACAGAAGTGACAACTACTGTTGCCCAGCCTAGAGCACACAGAGGTGACAACTACTGTTGCCCGGCCTAGAGCACAGAAGTGACAACTACTGTTGCCCGGCCTAGAGCTACACAGAGGTGACAACTACTGTTGCCCGGCCTAGAGCACAGAGGTGACAACTACTGTTGCCCGACCTAGAGCACAGAAGGTGACAACTACTGTTGGCCGGCCTAGACTACTGTTGCCCACAGACACAGGTGACAACTACTGTTGCCCGGCCTAGAGC